AAAGGTCAAAAGGCTTAGCTGATTCTCAGAAAGGTCGTAGTCTCACCTGTCGCGACTTATTTTACTCGACAGGAGACGTTAGAAAATGTGTGCGAATTTAGTCATAAGACAGTTTGCCGAACATGTGCAAAAGATGATAAGAAGACGTCTAAGAAAGGTGTATATTCGGTGTCCCCTTTTTTGGGCATGGCTGCTCAGTCATCCTCCTCCTTCTGACTCCTGTTGGGAGTGTTGGCCCTCTAAACGGGCCACGTTTTGGATGCGCTGGACCAACACGGGGGCCACATCGGACTCCGGCAGGCGTCATCTCTGCGCAATAACAAATGCCAACATTCCCGGGGTGCGCTGGCGGACCCTGTTGTCGGCATTCGTCGGTCAACTGGACCACTGCCACCACCCCATTGTTTTGTGGTCAAAATCCTGGTCATTTGTGTGTGGACCAGGGGGTGCCGAGTGGAGCGCCAAGGCGAGGATCCGTCCGAGCCATCCACCTACGGCCTCCCTCGTCTCCGGTCTTCTTGACCTGGTCTTGACACCGGGCTCAGGCGGGGGAGGAGGAGCGAGTGTAGGTAGATGTTACGCAAGTCTATTGGCACTATAAACCCCTGCGTAAGTCACCGTCCCTGCTCCCACAATGCAGTCTGTGGGGCACACGGTGGACATCGACGAAATCGACGGTCGAACTGTCCTTGGTCAAATGTATGTTGTAGTCCAGGGGGTGTGGTGGCACGCCTGGGTGCGGGTCCGGTCGTGCCAACCACCTGCGCCCTCCCCGTCCCGGTCTTCTTGACCCTGTCTTGACACCGGCTCCAGGTGGGGGAGGAGGAGAAAGCGAGCAAGTCTGCTACTACTATAAACTAAATCCACACGCAAGTCACCGTGTAACAGCCAGACATCATGACCGGTCTGTCGTCATTGTTCCAGACCTCGCTGCCTCAAGGTCATTCATCCCTTGCAGCGAGCCGTCCCAGACGAGGTGACCTGAAGTCACACAACCAACAGCTCGGGCATACCTGCGTCCGCGCAGTCGCAGCTGCCCATGCGGCCACTTGAACGCGCCACCCCCTGCAACCAGCGGAACAAGCCACGGGCACTCCACCCCTCGGCAAATGCAACACGCACGCTGACTGGCCGCCACTTGAGCTTGGCCCAAGAGCCTACAAAAGCGGCTGCCACCATTATCCCAGGAACTCTCAGGCCTGACTGGACGCAGTCAACATCAGCCCTGGCTTCGCCAGTGGCCGCTGTCGCCTGAGAGGACAACTCGGGGTTCTGTGCACAATAAACCCCTTATTCTGGTCCCCTTTGTCTTTTTACTTCAAACATGGAATTTGGCCTGACGATTGTAGCTCACATGCTGCACATGTTCTCTCTGTTGTGCCGCTACAACCGTGCCTGCTGCACCTCGCTGAGTAGCACACGATGGACATCGTCGGAATCGACGGTCGAATTGTGTATTTTCGGTGTCCAGAGCTTCTGGAAGTGAATGCTGCAATCCGACATAGCTCGCGTTATATGATTCGCTGGCTGTGCCTTTTACATAGATGCGACTGCTTGACTGCGGTTAGTCCTCCATGTGCGTGGCGATTGTCGGCAGGCCAAATAGTTTTACATTTTGTTTGATAGCCTGTTATCCACATATTACGGTCTTACAGCTCAAAGGAGTACTTAAAAGGACAAGTCAGACCCGGTTGGCTGTTTAGGGCTTACCGGTCCTCGGCAGACAGCCCGTGGCAGTCCGCGCCTCCTTGTTCCCCACCGCTTGTCACGCTGTCCTTCTATCCGCCTCACGCTCCCTGTAACTTCGCTGCTGGGACTGGGTGAGGCTTGTAACTGGCCTCGCGAGAGCTCGAAACCAATCAACGCTGTCCCCTCTCTCTGATTGGCTGGAGGACACTGACAGAGATAGAGTGGGGGCACACACATGCGCTGGGGGCTAGTGACTCCAATGGCGAACGCAGACAACACAACTTGCCTGGAGAGACAGCTTTGGGCAACTGCTTACCTGGTTTATTGTAGGATCTCCCACGTCAGTAAAGATGTCCAACCCAATTCGTCTTCCCTGACTTCCGATTTAGGAATCTTTGTGTTGTCGACCATACCGTTCGAGCAGTGGTGTCCGATCGTTGGAAAATGCGGGCAGAACGAGAGCCCTTGAAGCGTATGGCTTCAAGATATCTATAACGACCCCGACTTAGGAACGATGAGTGTAGTACGAACATGGGCGTCGACTAAAAGAGTAGAAGATGGCTTGACGCCAAAGTATTTCAAGGGCGTAATTTCATTCAGAAGAAGAGTTGAAGACGCTGCATTGGGAGACGGTCACAACCTCGACAGTTCGGCCATCTTTGCCGGCGATGTCCATCGTGTGCTCCACAACAGGGTGAGAACAGGGATGGTGACTTGTGCGTGAGTTATAGATATAGTAGTTATTGAAAAACAGGCATCCCAAGAAATATAATTAGAAAGATGAAGTTCTTTGGGAAACAGCAAAATTTTATTGTGAATTTTCGAGACTGGTTCCCCAGCTCGTCTTCACCTGGCTTGGCTTTTTGTACCGCATTAATTTTGACCTTACAGGCGTAGATTTAGGTCCTATTTTCACAGGCGCGACATACAGAACCACCTTTTGCCTGTAAAAGATTACGTCTGCATTGCTGGGTGTACTTTTTAATAATGCCATGGCTTTCAAAAGTACATCTAAGATCTCCAACTGCTTCTTTTGCTGGCAGTCAGAACAAAAGCCATGCTCGGGTGAGGGTGCCGGATGCGTCCGACCGCAAAGCGTAGGCACGACCGCCCGAGTATCTGCGAAAACGGGAGCCTGTGGTGAGAGCTGTGTGCAGCGATGATCGCAATCACGGATCCGATCGTCAGAAGACGTGGACACGTAGTGCTGGGTGAATTTAAATGGATTCAGGCGCTTATGATGTCAAACAGGCGCGTTTTCGGGTTGGCTAACAGGACCTAGGGAGGTTGAAACCTTGCTTAGCTCCGGTGAGACTGGATTTTCCACTAAAGCAGCCGAGTAATGAGACGTTATAGAGAAGGACCCCATTGAACTGTCAGTACACTGTGGATCGTGTCGTATGGGGTTTTATCTAAACACACATTTGTAGACTGTTGCATAAATTACACTGCCAACAACGATTACTTCCCACGACCTCACACCTCAACTTAAAATCCGTTATTTTGTGAAAGTTATTTTTTGTTTGTTGTTTAGTTGATACTCCCCTTTCCGTTGTCGTACAGTAGCGTAGGATAAATCCAGGCATAAATGCAGGCAATTTCTGTGTTTTCTTTCATTTTGTCAGCTCACTGTCTAGCATGTTGCCCCACCCATAAAACTCCCCTTACCATAAATCACGTATGGCACGATCCATAGTCTACTGACAGTTAACTGGGATCCTTCTCTTTACCCTTGCCGATTGCTCTAAAAAGAATTTCACTTGCCCGGTGTTTCGAATTCCTACTCATACTCGTCATCAGAGTGCCACAGACGAGGGTTATGAACGAACAGGGAGTGCGGTGGTCATAGAATGCTGTTGTTGCAAGGACTTCTTAGTCGTCAATGTTGATGACTGGCGAAATAATAATCTAACCATTTGGGCTCAATGACGCTGTCTCTGGATCAGCAGTAAACGCACAGAAGTAAGACAATCTGCGATGAATGTGAGCGTCGCTATTTTTGCTGGCTTTCTGTTCGCGCAACAACTACATCCTATAAACACTGCACTTCTTATGCTTTCAGTGGTCTTATCCGTGGCTTTCACTGTTAATGCGTTTAAACATGAGGCCAAAAGGTCAAACAAAGTTTTTTATACCTGCAATCGAACCTTCTTCTCGACTGCCTCCTGACAATCGCCTTTTCGCTACCAACTACAGCTTATAAATGCAGCGGCACGAGTTGGTTGGGTGGCGACGGTGTGCTGAGGTACCAGACTAATACGTTTTTGATAATCTCCTCACATTTTAACGTGAAGGAGACAACTCTGCAGGAAGACCGTCTGCGTTTTCGACAGGTAGACGATTGCCGGTCAGAAAAGTTTTAGACATTTGAACAGATTGTGCCTGGCGCGAGGACACATTGCGGCATGCACTTGCTCGACAGTTCGACCATCGACTCCGACGATGTCCACCGTTGCTACAGAGCAAGGCGCAGCAGGTGCGGTGACTTGCGCGTGAATTAGTTTGTCGTGGTGGTAGACTTGAGCAGCGTCTACTGCACTCTCTTCCCCACTTCCCACCTGGATCCGGTGTCGAGACAGAGTCAAGAAGACCGGAGGCAGGAGAGGGCGCAGGTGGATGCCGCGGTAGAGCCGGCGCCTTGGCGTTGCACCTCACGCCTTCTGGTCCAAATGACCGGGTTTTTGACCAACAACAACTACAACACCCCAGCAGGGGCCAGAGTGACAAGGATGGAGACTAGGCAGCCATGCCCACCACCTGTACACCCAGCGGGAGCGCAAACGCATGTACCCGCAGGGAACCAGGCTAACCGGCCAGGGTTTGCTGATACTGGCATGGCAGACCTAGGAGAGTGACCAGTGGCCCTGCATATAGCCTGGGCCTTCACCCTTCAAGGTTAGGTAACCAAACAGTCGTCGACAGAGAGGCACTACCCATAAAGCGCCCACATTCACCTTACGTACATGAGAATACCATAGATCGCCTGAGAAGGGGCCGTGACAGCCTGGCTCTCAGCCCATCAGTCCGCCGCTCTACAAAACTGCGTGAACTGAGTTGGCGTCTTTGTCGGCTGCCTTCCGAGTCACAGCGCTCGACGCACCGTCTTCGTCTCGGATTCCGATCACACATGCAGCAAGGGAGCCGCATGGTGAAGGGCCCGCGACGCACATTTCTCACTTGCGTGGAACGTGGCGGTTGGGTGCTTGCGGTGAGTGGTGTCGATATGCGGTGAGATGCTGGTAAGGGAGGATGTGATGGTGGGGTGCAGCCGGTGGTTGTCTACCACGGGTTTTCGTGGACGCGCATGTGGCCTAATAGACCCATGCAGTGAATAACTGTGTGAGTGCAATGTGGACAGTGGAGGCGGATGCGGCGAGTGTAGGTTGCTGCTCCAGGCGCTGGTTCGCCAGTCTCGGTACGATGGATTCACAAGTGACCGACCAGGCCGATGCGTGAGATGAACGTATGGGGACAGTGCAGACACGAGAAGTTGGTGGTGTCAGTATAAGCTTCGATGATACTGGTGGTGAGCGCGCTGGGGGACGGGGCGTGGGTTGGGCTGAGTATGATGGGTGTGCAGGATGCACTAAGTATGGTGGTGGTGGTGGTGGTGGTGGTGGTGGTGGTGGTGGTGGTGGTGGTGGTGGTGGTGGTGGTGGTGGTGGTGGTGGTGGTGGTGGTGGTGGGAGGAGGCAGAGTATGGCGGGGCTAAGCATGGTGGGTGTTTCGGATGTGTCGAGACTGCAGTTAATTCCACCCTCGTGGATACGCATGTAGCCGAGCAGGACAACTCCCGCTTCGCTGGCGTTCTCCACTGTCAGAACACTTGACCTTTTGAATATCAATTTTCTTACAAAGGGCATGTGAGACATCGTACGTTAATTCATGAAAATCAGTGCATTTACGCTAACGGAATCAGGTAGATCGCTTAACTGGGACAGAAGGAAACCCTCCGTCACAATATGACCCAAGCTCCAAAGGAATTAGGATAAATCGCGAAGAAATCCACCTAAAAAGGTTATTCAGCCTAAATAATAGTACATGAAATACCGACACAAATCCCTCTGCTTTTATCCGAACATTTAAGAGAACCTGCGCAGAAATGAAACAGTGACATGGGCAAAGGATAGATTAATTGTGACGTGCGATCTCTCAATTTCCCGAGTTGGACAAGTCGACATTTTCTGACGGGACTTCTGTCTTCATTGTACTCCCTTGGAATGCACACTTCCTCATTTATTCAATATGTGTATACGTAAATATGCATATTAACTAGTATTATTGGCTAATAACTATGTCGCAAGTGCGGTATAATACCTTTACCATATATACTCCGTGCTACTTACAGTACTACTTGTTTGCATAATAGGTATTACCGGATTACTCCTCAGTAGTTGATTGTCTTCTACTCGAATGTTCATCGAGATTTGGAGTTTGACCCTAAAAAGTCGTGCCCCGGAGACTTAACATCATGCCCTACGCTGAATAATTTCTGAAGTTATTTGCTTGATATATATATATCTCTTTTGAAGGCAAACACGTTCCTTGGGAAAAATAGAGAACATTGTTACATTTTCGACGCTGGTTCCACAGTTCGTCGTCAGACCTCAGTAAATGTTCAAAACACAACTACGATTTCAATCGTGCTAAAAAAACAGTATTCATTTCGTGTATGCGCCAGTAAGCGGCCGCCGTGTGCGTCATTCTGCACTGATCGGCTCTCTTATCTTCCACTTTTCCCTGTACATGGCATCTAACTCAATGTGTCGACTGATGCATGACTCATCGGAGTGCATGGCTTCAAGTAACCCTTGGCCTTTTTTAGATGGGCAAACTCCGACGATGCGAGTTTTGTCCCATGCGAAGGTGTGCCCAGTGTTAAGAGTGTGCATGGCCATTCGAGACAGGTATTCTCGCCTCTCAACTGCCAGTTGGGGCTCGTGAATAAGCATAGAGACAGATTTTCTCGTCTGGCCACACTATACGGCATCACAGGCATCGCATAGGATCTTGCACACGGCTTCCTTCTTATCGAGATAGCCAACTCTATCCGTAGGGTGTGCAAGCTGAGTGCGTAAAGCAGTCGTCGACTTTTGGGCCGCTTTTATCTGCTGCTTCCTCAAGTGTCTTTCAATATGTTCAGGCGCATTCCTTATGTAAGGAAAGATTCGCCAAGTATTTAATCTGAGTGGTTGGCTGGAACCACTTAGTTCCTTTGCTTTTATCTCATGTTGACTCATGCATTGACTTACGAAATCTCTAGGGCAGCCGTGCTGAAAAAATAATTCAAACAGCTAGTTTAGCCCAACTTGGTAGCTCTTATCATCAGGGCAATGTGTTTTTGCCCGATGTAGTAGACTTGTGTCAGTACTTCGCTAATGGAAGTAATTCGAGACTGTGAGAGCAACAGGTCAATATCTCACAAGCTTTTTCCAGTCAACTACTCGTCCAGTCCTTTCTTCTATCGTATAAATCAAAAAACGTTCCAAATTACGTTCTGGCAAAATGGTTGTTTCGGCGTCTCGACTTTCTCGCAGCCGATCCAGACATCACGGTCTTTTATTCAACACAAATCTTGAAGAAACTTGAAGTAAACCTCCTGCCATAGGAGATCATGCTATCTCTTAATGATACAACTCCGTTGATTCCTGTTCCCTAGGATCTGGCAGTTGAGACCATCGACTTGACCATTTACTGAATAAAATAGAACGAAGAATCGCCTCGCATACGCCCAAATCCTTCAAAACCCGAAGTTCTCTATCGATATGTACTTAACGTTTAGGCAATGGGCACTTCAATGGATTTATCAGTTTCGTGAATCATAGGCGGGGCGCTCCTGCAGCGGTTGAATGGATGGCCTCCCAACAATGTGGTTCCCGAATCACATCCACACTCCAGAATGAGGCTGACAACATACACCCGTTTCCTGATGTCCTCGTACAGAGAAAGCCTGACGGGCCATTTCGCACTTCGGTTTACCGCAAGGAAACCTACGGGGAAATTCTTTTACACTACGAGATCAATCACCCGATCTCTCACAAACGGAGTGCCGTGAACAGCCTCCTTAACAGAGCAAGAACTTACTGCTCCGAAAACGAAACCTATTAAACAGAATTGAATTATTTGTTCATTCTGTTTTCCCAGAATGGGTATCCTAGATATTTTGTACATCGATGCATGAGAAAACAGGAGTTAAAAGAAAAAGACAAGGAACTAGATTGTTCCGATCAGGCGCCCAAACCAAAAAACTGGCGAGGACTTCCGTACATTAAGAATGTATCCGAATTAGTTGGAAGACACCTGAGGAAGCATAAATACAAGTGACGCACAATCCGACGACTACACTTCTTAACCAGCTTGTACACCCTAAGGATAGGGTTGCATATTTAAATAAGAAGGAGGTCGACTCTAAGATACCATGCAACGCTTGCGATGCGGTTTACTGTGGTCAAACTGGAAAATCGTCCTCTACACGAAAACACGAGCATCAGACGGCCGTAAAAAGGCGAGACCACTTGTCCCAAGTTGCCATGCCTACGCTGGAAACTAGACACAAATCCGCCTGGCACAAGACTCGCATCGCGGGTGTCAGCTAATCGAAGAAAGGCCGCCAGTTTTTAAAGGCCATTCATCCTGATAACTCATGCATCAACCGACACGTAGAATTGGGTGCTGTGTACAACAACCTAAAGGAAAAGTTGAAAGGACATTGGTCAACCAGAACAAAAATCGATTTTAGGCATGTTTGAATGTTAATTGTTTTGTACACTTAGCCACGTCTGAGGATGACTTGGGGGACCAAAGTCGAAAATTTACAACAAATTTGTTTATCTTTCCCAAAGAACCTATTTCTTCCAAATTATGATTCATGGTATGCCTGTTTTTAGATCCATATATATATATATATATATATATATATATATATATATATATATATTCTCTCACCTGCCGAAATCAGCCTCCTATCCAAGGGAATAGGATTTAATCATACGGATGCCATGCCGACCAACTTCCTAGCTGGCCTCGAGTCAGTTCTACTGGCCTCAGCCTTTCCAGAAGACATGCGCGCAGACATACGCAGCTTTTCCATTGGTATCCTTCGACAAAAAAGACGCCAACAAACCCTACCGGCCGATGAGGCACAAGGATTACAATCACTTAGATTGGACCACAATATTGTTGTTGTTCCCGCTGACAAGGGTGGCGCTACTGTCGTCATGGACAGAATTGAATACATCAACAAGGCGAATGGAATCTTCGGTGACGTAGCGTCCTACACTCTTCTTGCCGAAGACTCGACGAAAAAGCAAGCCGCTGCCATCAAGAAAAAGGTTAATGGGCTCACTCGTCTGAAAGTTATAAGTCCAGATGATTCCAAGCTGATGACCCTCAGTGATCGCCATATCGCACGCGCGTATGGTCTCCCAAAAGTGCATAAAGTGGACGCCCCACTGAGGGTTATTGTACCGCTCATCGGATCACCTACTGACAATATAGCTAAGTGGTTGTACAAGCATCTGAAGCAGTTAACCCATGGATCTGACTACAGCATCAACAATTCTCTCGCGCTCCTCCAAAGGATCCAAGGCCTCGAAGTAAGTGCCGATGAATGTCTCCTGTCCTTTGACGTCGTTGCCTTATGTTCTTCCATACCACACGATTTGGCAATTGACTGCGTAGCCCAACGCTTACAGGAGAATCCTATTGAGATTCCAACTCAGCATATTACAGAACTGCTCAAACTCTGCCTTAGAAACTACTATCAATTCGATAATAAGTTCTACCAATAGGTAAAGGGAACCCCAATGGGCTCGCCAATATCTGGACTGCTCGCAGAACTTTTGTTGCAGCGACTAGAAAAAAGAGGTTTTCCAAGATCTCAGCCCCAAAGTGTGGCTTCGCTATGTAGACGATACCTTTTTCGTGATAAAGAACTGCGAAATTGAACGGCTGCATCAGAGGCTGAATGACGTCTTCCCGGCCATACAGTTTACTCGAGAAGAAGCAATAGGGGACACCCTGCCGTTTCTTGATGTGAGAATACAAAGGCTGAGCGATGGTAGTCTCGCAACGAGCGTCCATAGGAAAGGATCTAATTCCGAAATTATCCTCAATTATGGAAGCGACCACCCCGCAGCTCACAAAAGAAGCTGCGTTCGAACTCTGTTCCACCGGGCCTATCGTTATTGCAAAAGCGACGATCTCTTTAAGAAAGAGCTTGCCTACTTGTATCGGTTGTTTCGATCCAACGGATATCCAACAAGTTTCGTAAAGAACTGCCTCAGACACCAGGCACAACCGCAAACTCCCACCCTCAACGGGGTACCTGTGTCTCGACAATCCTTTCCCTGCCTTATATGCAAGGAGCGTCCGAAGTAATCGCCCTAGGGAACCATAGTTGTATTCCCTGACGTTTCAAAAGCAAACAAACTTTCATTGTCGGAGGTGAGTATTGTGCCACATCTCATAGTATTTATAGGTGCTGATGGTCTCCTTACAACTGGTTTACCTCTCGTCGGGGGCCGGTTTTCGGGTGTTAGCCGTCATCGCGCGTGTTCACATGAACCTTAGTTCTCATCCTAGGCTAGCAATCTTCTTGAGGACCCCGCGACGGTCTGTGTTCTCACCTGCCGAATAAATGGCAGTGAAGCCGGCACCTTCGTCTGGTCCTACCGAGACAAACTCAACCAGAACTTGGTATCAGAAGCGCGTTGGGAAAGTCGCTGAAACATTAATCCAACACATTTTCAGGCTTATTTCGTCGTAATTCAGCCAATCACGAACTTGACCACCGTTTGCAACTAGAAACGTAAGCATACCGAAGTACACCGGTGCCTCACAACTCGACTATCGCGCGAATGTGTACATGCCGTACGTCTATAGGTCGTCTAGGTCGACTGCCGCCTGTTCCAAATATTCCCAATATCGCATAAATTGTATAAGTTGTATAAATTAACGTACGACACATTCGGGGGTGATTTTTAACTATGCGCTTCACCCCAGTCAAAAATTCCTCGTTTCCGGGATAGTCATGATTACATGTGAGGGGTCTTGTCTCCCCACTGTAGGCCAATCGTGGTAAATTGCATTGTATCGACTAGTCAACGCGGTAAGGTTGTCCGTGCGTGGGTTAACAGTAGTCTCAACATCGTCTCCCAATGAGTTCAGAACCTGCTTTTGTATGGCATGCAGCAGGCTAGAAAAACACATCAAACACCTATCAGGATTTTTAAACGTGCTTCCTGCAGACAGGATCGCTTGGGCGAAGTTGTAATGCAGACCAGAATGAGACGCAGCCAATAGTCACCTTAAACACAATACCGCTCAGGTTCTCGGGTGCGTTCAGTTCCAGCCACCTCTGACAGTCCTCATCGGGCGAAGATAAGCACCACGCCTACTTCCCATGCTTGTATGAACACAGTTGGATTTTCCAGGAGTAATTCATAAAAATCGTCCTCCCGACTCCTACTTCGCGGAAAACTGCATCCTTATGGAACGCATACTCCGTTTTGTATACTATTCGTCATAATGAGAAATGTGGACACTCCCATATTCGTGTAGATCAACACCCTCGAGTTTATTAGGGCGGTTCACAGAGCCGCTTTCGAATGTTATGAACCGTCTCTTTAAAAGGACAAGCCACGTCGTTCGGGAACCTGTGAGACAAGCGAAAACGAAAGTTTCGTCCCAAATAAGTCGCTGAATCTTCCCTGTTAAACAATTTAACCATGAACTGCAATAAAGCACAAACGGCACGCAAAAGAAGTCTGCACACTACATCTAGTCGGCAGGCAAACTTTTCAGACGCGATGGGACTGAGCAGGAGAATACATACCCCCCTCCCCCCCTCCCACACACTACACGTGGCCTCGCCCTAAATTCCAGAGGATCTAGGGCAAGTTCAGGTCAGTGTTAGGGTTGAGAGGTTCAGGACTAGTTATAGTGAAGGTTAGGTTCCAGATGTTTCAGGTCAGGGTTGAAATTAGGACACAGAAATAGGAGATCCCGGAGTTTAACGCGGACAGCTGCTGTAACGGGGGGACGTCCACATCCCCGTGTCCAACCCGGAATGGGAATAAAGTTCGCACGCTCTCCTACATCTAATCGACCGGCAAACCCTTCAATCTGAGCTCGCGACCAGCAGTCGGTAGATGCGCGCCCAACATTTGACCGGTGCTGACGTCAAGGACGAGGAATGGTCATTGCCGGCTTGTAGCCGTCTACAAGCCGTAGTCCAATCCATAGGGGGAAGGATCGGGCCGACTGAAGATCAATCCAAAATCTGGTCGTTGCTGTCAATTGTCTTTGGCAGGAATGCTCCCTACGAATAAACAGTTTGGAAGGACGGCCTAGCCCATGGTCAAATTTCCCCAAAAGGTTGGTTCGGAACACTTGCCGATAACTTGTGGTCAGCGCGACGTTGCTTATCGTGCTTTTAATGAACTGAATGGGCCGCAACACAACAAGCAGTGACAATCAGGAACGTCGGACCGTCCAAACTGGACAGTGAGTCGAACCAGGTGGCCAGGCACGACGTGCTGGACAACCGCGTTACACAGGATGCTAAAATATGACGGAGGCCTGTGAACCCACAACTGTCTGGCACTAGCTGGCAGTCGCAACCAGGACTAACTTAGCCGGCCCACGTGCGCCACAGACACTCTCACCGTACCCAGGCACTGTGCCTAAAGAGCTCGACTTACTCGCTTGGACGGCATATGATATCTAGGATTGAGAGCGGACCCACATCGGTACCCTGGCAACATTGTCCCGCGCCTCATGATCGCACTCAGCAAAGGGCGGCGCTGGCTTGGACAGCAGCACTGAATCACCGACGGGGGACGTAAGCAAATCAGTCCAGTCTAGGTCGCCAAGTACGTCGAGGTTACTGTCCCAGTAGGTTCGGACCGACCTCCGTACTTTATTCCGAGGACTCGTTCCGAGACAGTCGGCAGCACCAAGCCTCAATCCATTTTTTCACAGCCTACTACCCACAACCTTATATAAGAAAACTGACCGGGAATAGATGCGCGCGAAACCAGTGACTTGTACACCATGACGGGGTCAGGCGCTCCTGAGGGCTTGGATGCGCTGCGGGTACCGGCTGTTCGGATAGTGTAAGCTATAGGTCGGTATCCTCTGGCTACGCTGAACTCCGCATACGACAGACCTTGCTAGGCCAAATTTACCAGATTTCGCACTGTAGTCTAGATCGGTTAGCTGGCCTTCTGAAGTTTGGCGCCTCGATCACACTTCCCAGGGATTCTGTGAACGAGGGAGTCAAATCGGTGAAGGGAAGCTTCTTCTAAAACCGCAGTCAATTCGAAAACCGGCTTGTTTGTGCGACCGCGACCGCTTCGTATCCAAGATGATGACTTAGGGCGGAAGATAACGAGTTGTTGCACTTCTTTGGCACAGAAGCTACATCCCATACCCATACGGCACTATGGCCAAAATGTACATACTGGAGGAGTCGTCAATCACAAAAGTGGCGAAACTACGTTGATTGTAAACGTTTCGAATTACAGGATCAATAACAATAAAAACCCCCAAGTGTCCGAACCCGCTGAGATGGACGAACCCTAAAAAAATCCCACTGCCAAACAAGAGCTACTGAAGTGTCCAGTAGATCGACCCACGTGTACCGCATGACTCCTCTTATGCAGGAATTATGGGAACTTTTTACCGCTCAGAAGACATCGTCGTTTCCATTGATCTGGTTACTGCCTACTAAATGGGCTTAATACCTCTGCATCCCCAAACAAATTGACTCATAGTCCAATCCTAAGCGACGTGCGGCAAGACACCCTCAGACGGTAGTCTTAATGCCGGGCTGTATTGTGGGTTCTTGTGATAATTGATCGCACCCTTCTAATTAGATTTGAAGGTTCGTACATGACGGCGTGGTCATGTTGAACGCCCGCGAACGTACAGCAGGAGTCTTGGATGCCCATTATACTTAGTAACACATCTCGAGTCTACGATAATTTGACGGACTACCGGGCTGCACTTGCAAACATAGTCAAATGTGCTATCCACGATGAGCAGGATTCCCAGGTCATATCCTTTGTGCTTGTCTGCACTTGGTTTGGTTGTGATCATGACTGGGCCATTCTACGTTGTAGGTTTCTTGCGCGACGCTCTCCGTGCATGGCAAACATTTGTGAAACAGGTGAGCTTTCTATAATCTCCCGGCTGTTGGCACCGGATATTCAAAGTGCAAGTCACCTCGACGGTTTGACAGCTCGAAGTAAAGCTATAAGGACCGTGGATTGTGTCGAGGTTACCTAAACCCACAAACGCAAACGTATTATATAAAAATCCCCCACGTACCAGGCGCTGGCATATGACATGGACCTACGCTTTCTCCGCACAAGATTAAAATAGGTACTTATTTGAATTGTCATTACAAGATGGAAACACCAACAATGACTAACGGCATGTTTGGTCAATTGGACTTGGTAAAATTAGCCCACATCTAAGAACCATGGCGATTCTTGGCAAACATTCCGACGCTGTCAGGACACTGAACTAACAAAAGAAGTATGATGCCTTGGACAATTACGAATATCGTAGGTACCTAGGACGGCCTGCATTATTTCCTCATAACAAAATAGAGTACAATAAGTCAGTGGGGTGACTGCGAAAATTTTGGTGGCAAAAACTGGCAGTGAAACTCAGTAAATAGGGG